CATTTATAAGTTGGATAAATATCTACCCTGGAGCCACTTCTTTGGTATACTGTGCTTGAAAACATATAGGAAGGAATTGATCCCTTATTTGCTACTCTAACTCATGATCAAATGAAAATGATAAAATGTCTTGGCTCCATTATTTATTTTTGTTAAGACTAGTATCAAAGCCTTATTTATTTGATTTACTTGTTTCATCACTTCATTTCAGTTTGCCAGTGTGTTAACTGAAGAGATTTTATTTTGTATCTGTAAGCAGTATGGATAGGAAGTGGCTATTTTGCTTATCAGAAAAAGACACTTTCTAAAAGTTAGAAAGCCTGTTTTTTTTTTTTTTTTTTTTCAATTTCTAAAACTTTGCCATAAACTTCTCCCAAGTGCCAATGGTCTCCTGCCACACTCATACTAGGTTATCTCTGCAGTCAGCAAACAGAATGTGGCCATCAGCAGACCAGCCCGGAGAGGTGCAGTGGAGTGGCTCATCCTTGCTACTGGTGCTAATAACTTCTTGTTTTAGTTCATCTACAATGATCTTGCCCTCCAAGTCCTAGATCTGATGTTGGGGCCCATGGTGTTACACAGCCAGTCGTAGTTAGAGCTGAAGCACAGGACATTGATGATGCCCAAGTAATCATGAAGAGCCCACAGGGGGATGCCATAGTTGGTCTCATTCTGGGTTAACTTCCATGTGATGGTGGTGATGGTCTTATCTCATGAGGTGACATTACCATGTGTAGGAACTGTGGAGTCACCCAGCCCTGTGCCCTTGAGTGTGTCGTGAAGGGTCAAGTGATCAGTCATGGCAGTGGTGGGTAAGGGGATCACCACAGTGACTAAAATGGCACCGAGTAGCTCAGTAGCTCAGAGACCAACAGCACAGCTGCTCCTGCCAAACCCTGCTGATACAAAGCTTGGCTCCACTATTAAAAACCATGTTGTTGAAAAAAAAATGTGTGTATATATATTTATATATATGTCCTGGAAGAAGTACAGGTGGAATGCTCTTTGGAAGTGAGAATGGCCACACTTTATCTCACCTACTCTGGTCATGTTGTCAGAAAGGACCTTTCCTGGAGAAGGATATCAAGCTTGGTGAAGTAGAGGGTTAACAGAAATGGGGAAGGCCCTCAACAAGATGGATTGACACAGTGGCTGCAATGATGGGCTCAGGTCTAGCAAGGATCGTGAGGCTGGTATAGGACCAGGCAGCATTTCATTCTGTTGTACATAGGGTTGGTATGAGTCAGAGAGGACTTGACGGCACCTAACAACAATATATTTTTTTTCATACAAATTTTATTTTTTGACATTGATTGCAATTAGCACAATGTAACAGCACTCTTCCCACTTCCTCCCTGTGTTTGCCATTTCTCTTCATCTTTCTTGCTTATCCCTTCCTGCCTTCCAAGCTTTATGCCTGGGCAAATGCTGCTTTTGTCTTTTATGATTGATTGTTCTAAGGGGTGCATGCTTCCCTGGTGTTACTTTCACCTTATAGGCCTGTCTATCATTTGGCTGAAAGCTGAGTCATGAGGGTCAGTTCTGTTCCAGAACGGCTAGAAGGGTGTCTAAGGGCCATAGTCTCAGGAGTTCTATCAATCTCTATCAAACCAGTAAGTCTGGTCTTTGTGTGTGTGTGTGTGTGTGTGTTTTGTTCCACATTTTCTCCCACTCTACCTGGAATGTCCTATTGTGATCCCTTTCAGAGTGGTCAGCAGTGGTAGCTGGGTACCATCTAGTTCTTCTGGTCTCAGGATCATGGAGGGTGGGGTTCACATGGTCCATTAGTCCTTTGGACTAATTATTTCCATGCATCCCTGATTTTCTTCACTTTTCTTTACTTCAGGTGGGAGAGGCCAATAGTTGCAGCTCAGATAGCTGCTCACAAGCTTTTAAGATCCCAGTCACTACTCACTAAAGTAGGATGTGGAACATTGTCTTTGTGGACTATGTTAAGTTGATTGACTTTAGTGTCCTCCATCCTCAGGACTATGGCTCTGAGCCCCTAAGACAAGCAACTCATTCCTTCAAGATGCTTGGTTATAGCTAAGATGAAAAATATTTTTTGACTTGAAAAGACATTCATAACATATGCTAAGTGAAAACAGAAGACTATAAAACTGTCTTTTATTATGTGTTATTTTTATTAAAATACATGGATAAAAAGACTTGTGTTAGGATTAAAGTTTTCTGTTTGCTTTACAACACTTATATAAAACTATGGAAATGATTAACTGACCTTTGGTCTAGGTCTATCAAAGTATCTAGTTATTACTACATTATTGAAAGTAATGCTGTGCTTATTTAAGTCAGGGAAAAGATTCACAATATTTTGGGATTCTCAGAAACTTGAATAACTTCTGTTAACTTTCATTTTGGGATCTTCATGCCTAGTTCCTTCTCAGCTTCTATATTTTCAAGCTGTAAAAAGATGTAATTGTAGGCATTAACATAGAAAAAATTGCCTTTGAGTGTAGGAAAGGATTATGAAATAATTGTATTTTGGCACAGGATTTTAACGGAGATAGCAATTTTGTGAGGGGAATAACCAAGTATTTATGGTATCAATTTAAATATGAGATCCGCCATGAGTATTTTGCAGAGATTTTTTCTAAAAGCAACGACTTGCCATTCCTAGCCAGATTCCTGCATTGCGCCCCTGGGTTACAAGTGTGTGTGCGTGTGTGTGTGTGTGTGTGTGTGTGTGAGAGAGAGAGAGAGAGAGA